GCTCTTCCGCGCCGCCCAAGGCTAGCCGGTTCACCACGAGCACCCCGCGGGAGCTCCAGCCCAGGTCCCATGCCGGGGCCATCGCCTGTGCCGGTGAACGGGCTCCTGCGCTGCAGGGGGAAGCCGGTCCCGGGAGGCTCCCGCCAGCACAGGTCCCAACACCCACAGATGACAAGTTTTTAAACCAGGTGGTCCTTGGTCACAGGAAAGCGTATAGCATCTATCTCGCGTGGCGGAGAAGACTGACCGCCCGAAGAAGTTGTTTCTGTGAAAGCTGCCGTTTGCCTAGGTGGGGAGACAGAGGTTTAAGTCTTCAGGTTTATGTTCTCAGCTGCCACAGACTCAAGACAACATCTCAGACAACACTCAGGACAAACACATGGGCACGTGCTCCATTTCAAGATGCATATTTAGACACAGCTACGCTCATTATGTACTGAATTATAAATGATATCAACAGCCGCTGTTTAGGTAGCCATGCTGACTTCCCAAAACACGGCCACCCCTCGCCTGTGCCAGCCAGCCCCGCACTAGCAATACGCATGCCCTGCCAGAGCCGACTGGGTGAGAGGCATGAGCCTGAAGCATCGCCGAGGTGCGCAGCCCCGGCACGCACCGCCCGCCGCCCCGCAGACAGGCACGGCGGGAACGACGGACTCTTCCTCCCCACGTCTTCCGAGACACCCTTCCCAGGCGCACAAACAGCTGCCCAGCTTCTTTTGGTGCAAAAGCCTGATGACTTCTAAGCTTTGCATGTTTTTAACCATATCTTCATGTTTTACCAAATCAAATAGAAACACATTTAATAACTACCACATTTTTCGGGCTTCATTGACTCTTCCTTGGAAGCAGAGGAGGAAACCAAAGCCACATCATCTCAGTGAAACACCAGGTGCCAACAATGATTTTTTTTGCCTTGTTTTCTTCACCTGCTTCATAACAAACAACTTTTCTTTCCTTCGTGCCAAGTTTAGGAGCTCATATTAGCAGTGATACAATAACCAAGACATCTTAACCTCAGGCTGAAAGCAATTTCTACAGGAAACACTTCCCTAACTGCACTTTATATGATTGTTTCTGTAAAAAAAAAATGTCATTTTGGAGTACAGAGACTTGATCTCTTCAACTTTTGACTTAAACAGTTCTTATCCCACCACAGGCTCCCCAAACGCATTCCGTACAGCTTCCTGGGTCAGTTATAACTCTGCAAGATTGAACACTGCTCTATTTATGGGAGCTAGGGTATACAAAAAAAAAGTAATTTTATCCATAAATCCGTTCTGTTTCTTTGGGAATGGGGGGGTCCCACACCCACAGCTGAGGGGGAAGGTGCGATGACCGACGGCTGCGGAAGCACTCGCCACGTGGCAGGAGCAGCAGGGACTCATCTCGGAGTCTCCGGAGGAGCAGAGAAGTCCTGACAGACGTCAGCGCGTATCTGACTTCTGTTTCTGTGATACTATTTGTTTTCCTTATAACAATCTTCATCCTGTGCTACCCTTCTGAAATAACAGCTTGTAGTGTTTCTCTTCAGCTCAGGCCCGCAACAAACTTCCTTGGCACCATATGTTCGTGTTTATCCTGGATGCAGGGTACGCTAGGAACCATATCACTGTCTGCCTGCTTCGGCTTTCTCTCGGTGCGGGGAGCGAGCACAATCAATCACCCAGCAACAGAACAGGTGAATCTCTTCCTTAAAGACATTACCGTAGCCCTAGAAGAGATGCCAGGAGCAAGACTCATCAGATCCAAATAAATAAGAGATCTAGCAGAGGAAAAACAGACACATCATCACCAATACTGCAAAATAAAAGCATTACGTGCGGAAATGAATATAAGGCTGTCGCAAGTGTCTTCAGTGTCTCAGACACGTCGTTACGCTGGTTTTTCTCCCCCTTCTCACGGAATAAAAACAAAATGGGAAATGGTCTTTATGACGTCATCCACAGCCGATAACTGACTGTTTTAGCCACGTTCTGGTGTTCTGCAGGTTGCTTGAGAGAGGAGCTGATCAAAACTGTCACTGCAAGCCCTGAACAGCTCCAAGGGTATTCCTCGGAGCACCATGAACACGGGGCGAGAAGAGGGTGGCAGGGAGCCTCTAAGGCTCTGTAACCTCGCTTTGGCCAAGCTAAGACAGTCACTTATTCCCAGAGTGAAAGGGGCCCTGCACCACCTCAGCCTGTTCGCAACCAGAGCTGGCTGGAAGCCACGCCGGCAGGCAAGGCTGACGGCCGGCTCACTTGGCGGGGAGAGCAAGGGGTGCCGCCACCTGAAGATCGCGATTTTCTACGGTTGTATTCAGAGACCATTTTACTTTGCTGGATGTCCTTTTTTTCTTTCTACATCACTGATAGAAAGATTCTAACCCCATTTTTCCTATTAGTTCTGAATACGTTGCTCAAAACTGACTTGTCCAATCTACTGCCCACAACTGCAAGTTCACAGACCGACGGAAGGCAGCCCTCTCCCCCACAGAGCTGTTTCTGCGAGAAGCCATTATGCAAAGGAGAACGAAAATAAAAAAAATTGGGGTCAAAATTCTCAATACAACCCAACCACATTGTCACTGCTTCTGAAAGCAAAAGCATTCGGCCACCAGATGACAAGCTGGGAGGAGCCTGTTGAAGGAGCATGTTGAACTCCGTACTTCCAGAGCATTTTCATGCGCACTGGAGACTAGAAAGTCCTGGAGACCAATACGGCTCGACAAGCATTCCCTCTTCTCCTTCGGAAACGCTGAGCTCGCAGGCACACAAACTTCTGGTGGGAACACTATGTGCAGTTTGGAAGAGGCAGAAGAGCGCATGAAGAAAAACTTGTCCCCACCCAAAACATTACATCCTAGAAAACTTTTTAATGTATGTTTGTCCTACCACACTTGAACTGTTGCCTTCTTTAATCATTCCTTTAAAAAAAGCTGAGAACCGCTGCCCCAGCAGGCACAAAGCCTTCAGCCTGTGCTTCTCAACCCAGCTCCTTCCTGCTGTCCTGTTCTGGTCCTGACTCTCACCCCGTCCCAGTTCCCATCCCCTCATCTTTAGGCAGCTCCAGACTCCCGCTGCCACCTAATGCCAGGAGTTCTCCGCCGGAGCGCCCACAGCGCCCCTCCGCTGCATCCTCCGACCACCTCTGCTCCCAAGGTGGCCGACACTCACCGTTAATACCGTGCCAGTTCCCAAAGCCTCACTGACGCATCCTCCCAGCCCACACGTCTCCTCCTTCACCCTCTCCCAGTTCTTGCTTTACTCCCCTGCTCTCGGCCCCACTTTCTTTCCCACGGGGTTGCCAGCTGCAGCGTTAGCCCCCGCAGCCTCTCAGTCCCGGCTCCATCAGGCTGTTCCCCCAGCCCTCGGCCAAGGCTTCATCCTCTCCCTGCCCGGCGGCAGCGGTCAGTGCCGGGGCAGGGGAAGCCCCGTGCTGGCAGCACCAGGCAGGGGTTTCTCTGCTCTCCGTTACTTCCCACAGCCCGGCACTAGCCTGCATCCGAGATCAGCTGCTCCAGCCAAGTCTTCCTAAACTGAGACTCTTTGGGCTGGAACAAGTTTGGGCTGTTGGGTGATGTGTGGCAGAAGTCAAACGGACAACACCACGAGAGCTGCAAGTAACACGCTGGTCAGCAAGAAGGAAGACTTCACGCATCTCTGCTGCTAACAAGATTCAAAGTGGTCCTACCGAGAGGTGGAATCTGCACTCCCTACCCCTTCAGCCTCATATTTCAGATTTTCCTAGCGCTGTGTCAGCTGCCATCGCTCACCCAAGGTTAAATGCTGCCAAATTTCAAGCCCTTAAGCGGAAGAAAAATAGTGCAGCTAAACCTATTCAAAGATAAGATCAGTTTGAGTTGTGGGCAAGATGAGACCCCTCTTCCTAGAAGATTTGCACAGACCACTTTTAAATATAATTCTACAAAAATAGAAGCCCAAGGTTCCCCAGCTATCTGACTGTGCTACTGGCTAATTTCTCACATAGAAAAAAGGATAGAAATCTCAAAACAGATACAAATACTTGACCTTGTTTGCAAGAGCATTTATGTACATCAAGAATCCTTTGCTAAAAGAGCAGAAAGATGATCTCTCTCAATGCTCAAGCCAACACCACCTTTGAACCACGCTTCCCCTCCCAAGCAGCCATTCTGTGGCACAAAGGAAGAGGAAGAATTTGCAAATATTGACTGAAATTCTGCAAGTTCCTACACAGCCATAAATGCTTATTCCCTCCCCAGGGAAGGCGCACCGCACTTCTCCAGCTCTGTTCCCAGGGACGGTCCTGGCAACGCTACCGGCGATGCACTGCTGCGGGGGAAAGTCAGGACTTCCACCGCCGTGGAAACCAGAGAAGTGGAATAAGGTGATTGTGGAGGAGTTAAAGGGGAAAGGATCAAAGAGGCAGGAGGAAACTGTGCTCCCAAAGTTTCAAAATAAGGCACTCTTTAATCCAGTAACTAACATGATGCCTTTATTTACTCAAGCACA